CCCTAGCTAATATGAATTATGCCATTCAATCGTAAATTAGTAATTCCTGACAAATGACTCATCGTATATTTCATATGTAAAATAAAGGCTAATTATTTAAATTACATAATATACTTTCAATAAATTATTATTTTAATATTAATTTTCAAACATATTTTAATCTGTTGGTTCCCATTTTCTAAATAAAATATAATGAATTTTTATTTGCGTATTATCATGATTATTATGAAAAAAATGTTCAAAGGATTTTTTTATAGTGAAGATAACAAGCTGTGGAAATATTGTTGTATTAAGTATATTTTCAAATTTTATTTTGCAAAAACACGTATGAGCATCTCAAAAATTTAGCGAAAATAAACTTTGCTAGTAAAACCATATTACTAATCTCACACTATGCTAAGCGCTATTTCTACTACAACTATTTTATCATGGTTAATATTTTAACTTAATTTCAAATTCTATAAATAACGAAAAAAAAATTATAAACTTTTTTAAGAGGCAGCTGAACTCGAACTCAAGACATACTGCACGTTTCACATCATGTCAAGGTTAGTATTTTAACTTAAATTTCAAATATTTAAACTTACTCGAATGAACATGTGGTTTTTTATTGTCTTACAATATTATGTATTATATTTGATTAATTCATTATTCCATACTTTTTCGTTGAAAATTTTCAATAGCGTATTAATAAGAATAATATTAAATATGTTTGGACTGGATCTGATGAACTAATCAATAGCTATTATGTAATTATAATGAATTGTGAGATGATGAATAGATATTATTGATTATTGATGAAATTTTCTGTGGACTTGATTTGATTATTATTTGTTTTAATTTTTTTTAATATACTTTACTAATCTAACGCGTTTAATTACATTAACTGGACTGAATAATTTTTTAGATCATGTAATAATAAAAAATAGTTTATTATATATATGTTTCCTGTTTAATTCTTTTATTACATAATCTAATTTTAATTTTTTTTGATTTAACGAGACTTTATTTATGCAATAGTGAAGAAATATCAAGGATTTATGAGACAAATTCATAATGAGGTAATAATTAAATTAATTGCATATTATTGTCTAGTTAAATAAAATGGATGGTTACTGATTAACTTAACTGAATTGATTACTAGAATTTTATGAGAATTTAAATGATATGTGAAGGTATTTATTTATATTGGATGAGATTAGAAGAAGATATGTAGATATATTTATTATATTGGATGAAAAGTAATTGATGGCATTAAAATAATTATTACAGGTTTGATTCACTATTATTTTATTATCGTTTTCTTTATTAAGCCTTTACTAATTTATAATCGAATAATAATAGGAAACTCAATATTAGAGATATAGAATGAATAAATCATCTTTTTTATCATTAATAATTATTATCTTATTATTTTTGAAAAACAGAATTTTTTTATTAAAGGATTTTTTTAATCTTTAAAATAATTTTTAACTAATAATTTATTTAATATTAAGTTTAATAAATAATAATTAATAAATATATAATTTGTTTTACCTATTTTTCAATTAGCTTAAACCTTTTATTATAGTTATTTTTAATTTTACTTGATATAAGATTCCTATCTGTTGATGTATTTTAATTTTTTATAATACATTCATTATGTGTCTATCCCTTAAAATACAAATATTAAAAGTTATTTCTAATGTTAATATAATAAATATAATAATAATAAAAATTATTTTATAATTGTTATTTTTAATTTTAATGACTTCATTATTCAATTAATTATTGCATATATACTTTTACAATATTTGTATCAAATAGTATTATCATATAATGTTCATATTGCATTAAGGAATAATTATGTGTTAAAGAGCCAATAACCTATAATATTTAATAAAAAGCTAGTCAATCCAAAAAAATCAATAATTTAGAATAATCAATTAATATGAATTAAATAAACTAAATTATATATAATATATTTACTATCTATACCATTTTTATTATGTATTTTAATTTGTTTAAAAAATTGTTAAACCTCTTCTTTTGTATTTACTTTAAAAATTTTAAATATATTGTGCTTAATATCCATGAAGTAGGAATTATAATCAGCATTTCTATAATATAATAATTAGTAATTATTAAATAATTATATTTTAATACTTTAATCAAAAATAAAATATTTATCTTTTATAATATATATAACATAATTTAAATATATATTATAAATGTTTTTTAGAATCCATTTTTAATGCTTTACCTAAACTAAAAGCTTAGATTTTATTTAAATCAAATAATATATATATCTAATTATTATTATACATATATTAAAAATAAGCAGTTTTATTAGATAATTTTTAAATATTTTGAAAAATGCTTTAAATATTTGCTGATATACTTTTTTAGTTGTAATATTAGTAGAATTTTACAAAATTTAAAACTATAAAAATGTTAAAAAATATTATTATTAAATTAAAATTATAAAATTAATAAAAACTTACTAATTTTAAATATTTTATTATATGTAATAAATTTTAGCTCATTAATATCACTATAAATTCATATAAATGAAAGGTCAATTTTAAAATAATTAAATTCAGTATATTTTAATGCTTGTTCATTAGTTATATATAAAATTATTATATGTCTATCATTAAAAAAACTTATAATGTAATATTTATAAATATAATAATATTATAAAATAATAATAAATATATAAATATTTTATTTACTAATTTTTTGTATATAATTTTTTATTATTTAAGTATTTTAATAAAATTATATACTACTCTAAGAATTTTCTGACTATGTAGATTATGTTACTTTTAAACTTAGTATCAAAGTTTATCAATATTATTAAAAAATGCATATATTTTAACAATCATATTTGTTTCAAATATACTTTTAAATAAATTGCCTAATTAAAAAATTTTAAGTAATTAATAATTTAAAAAAAAGTAAAAAAAATAAGTTAAACTAATCTGATATTAACTGTTATACAGTTATATCAATAAATTGATCTTTAATATTTTCAATAAGTTTTTTTAATTCTAATTTAATATAGAAAGAAATTTAAATAATAGTATGTATGAATTCCTTCACATATTAAGATTATAAATTAATATTTTTGTAAATTTAAAGGTATAAGCATTTTAAATTTAACTGAATAAGTAATATATTATAATTCTAATAATTAAGTTAGACCTTAAAAGAGATAAGTAGTATCAAAATAAAAAATTATTAATATTTTTGTTTTAAAAATTAAATATTCATATTATTAATAAAATTAATTTACTACAATATTTTTTTGTGACTGCTTGAAGAATATAATGTATTGCAATTTATATCATTCTATAAAATAATAATAATATATTATTATATATATTAATATAAATATAATAATAATACATTAAAAATACATACCTCTTGATTTAAAATTCTTTCTTTATTTACAAAAAGCAGTTTTAAAAGATCAACATTTATATTAGCTTTAATTTGTAAAGATATATAACCTTTTTCATTTTGTTTCTATTTATCATATTCTATAAATTTGCTTTATTAATTTATAACATAAATCAAATAATATTTAATTTTTAATTTACCATTATAAGTATATGTATTATTTAAATAAAGATATTAAGTATTTATTGCTACTAAATATTTACTACAAGAAATTATGATAATAAAAGTTATTATTTAAAAATAATAAATACAAAAAATAAAAAAAACTAAATTATAACTTACATTTATATAAGTACTCTTGTAAGTATATTTATTTAAGTAGTATTAAAATTATTATTATAAATAAATGGATCAGTTTCAAGATTTACATTAGACTTTAATACTTTTAAGTCATCTAAACTAACTAGCTTGCAAGCTTTAATCTGAACCCATTGCTTATTTTCTGAATCATTTGAATCTTTATCAAAAATGAATATCTAATGCTAGAAGAACTATCACTTCATTTACAGAGTGAATATTGTATTTATTTTTAACAAATATTAATTCTTAATTAATTTTTTTTATAAAAAGTAAAGTTTAGTCAATTTAAAACTTATATTATAAAATGCTGCTTTAGGATTTATCCAATTTTCAACATGGTTCACATGTGTAATTCTAAAGCTCTGAATAGTTTAGATTAATTCAAAAATTTTCAGTTCAGACCAACTTCAGTTCAGTTTTAGATTGCAAAAAATTCAATCTGAAAATTTCAGATTAATCCAAAATTTAAGATCGTTTGAAATGATTAAATTTATCATTCTAAATGAATAATAAAGAATCGTTTAATTGGAATGATAAAATTATTATTTTAAAAGAATGATAAAAGAATCGTTTGATTAGAATGAATAATTATCATTCCAAATGAATGATAAAAAAATTGTTTGATTGGAACGATCAAATTATCGTTCTAAATGAATGATAAAAAAATTTATTCAATTGGAATGATAAAGAATCGTTTGATTGGAACGATCAAATTATTGTTCTAAACGAATGATAAGAAAATTGTTTGATTGGAATGATCAAATTATTGTTCTAAATGAACGATAAGAAAATCGTTTGATTGGAATAATCAAATTATTATTTCAAATGAATGATAAAAGAATCATTCGATTGGAACGATCAAATTATTATTCAAATGAATGATAAAGAATCGTTTGATTAGAATGATCAAATTATTATTCTAAACGAACGATAAGAAAATCATTCGATTGGAACGATCAAATTATCATTCCAAATGAATGATAAAAGAATAGTTCGATTAGAATGATCAAATTATCATTCTAAATGAACGATAAAAGAATCGTTTGATTGGAATAATGAAATTATTATTCCAAATGATCTATAATTTCGGATTAATCCAAAATTTTTAGTTCAGTTCAGATTTTTACCAGTTTACGGTTCAGTTCGATTTCAGATTAGCATTTTTTAGATTTTTAATCTGAACTAAACTGAACTAAAATTTTTGGTTCAGTTTCAGATTGGCCTATAATTTGAACTGAATTGAACCATTTTAAGCATTATGCAATTCCTTCATCTGAAGTTGTTAGATATTTAATTGGAACTAAAGAGTATTTAATATCTTTAATTAAATTGTCTCTGATAAACTTAGCTATTTCAGATTCTTCATCATCTTGATTTATTTCTTCAGTATCTGTTACCTAAATAAGAAAATTTTTTCATTTTTAAGTTCTTATAAAAAAATCTTATAAATTGTGACTAAAAAATTTATTTAACTCAACTTTTTTTTTACTTTTCTACTTACAAAAGAATCATATTCTAATAGTTCATCAAATTCTTCTAAATTAATAATATATTTAGATAATATAGACATAATTATATAAAAATTAATAATATAATGAAAAAAATTAATAAAAAGAAAATGAAAAAAATTTTTGATCAAAAAACTCAATATATATGAAATATTTGATAATAAATTATTGTGATTACAGATACAATCAAAAAGTCTTAAATATATCCAAAAATATAAAGTTAAATGATTAATGTTAATTATTTGTTATATTGGTATGTATCTATATATAATTGATCATATATGTAAATAATTTATTATACGTTATCTTTATATAATATCATACTGTAATTAAATACTATATACATTTTATTTTTTTCATCTTGATGAACTATTATTGCATTTAGTTATGATTCAAGCATTAATTCTAGTTCATATATTACCTACAAATCATTATTTTATTTTAAAGTGTATTCAAATTAAAAAATTTCACCTGTAGGGTTTATCACATTATGGAAAGAGTTACCACATAAAATAAAATATTTAGTTAATGAATTAAATATTCAAATATAAGCTTTTTTGCTCTTTATATTTCATGAATCAGTTTATTTGATTTTATTTTTTATATCTTCGAAAAAAGAAAAATCAGTTCCTAAAAAACAGTTGATGAAAATCACTAAAAAAAAAAGAATTTTTTAAAAAGCTTTCGTAATACTTACACAAAGGCTTATACAAAATAAAAAAAGTGATAAAAAAACATACTTTATAATAATTCTGATTCTCTAAATAAAAAATAAATAAAGACTTATATTTTGTAATATTCAATATTTGACTAAAAATAAAGTAACCTAATTATCAATTTAATGATTAGTGAGATTTTTGAAGCATTTACCATTACCATTACAAAAAAAGAAGTAATAAAAAAGAAAATATAAAAATAACCTCATACTTTCTAGCTTGAAAGAAAATGAATCTAAAAAAAAGAAGGGTATCATATTTTAAAGAAATTGTATCTTGAAGTGATTGAACCTAAAAATAAAAAAAATGAATGAATAGAAAAAAAACTAAATGATAATAAAAAAGATATTTACTACATAGATTAATAATAAACAATATTTCAATTTCTTTAAATTTTCTGATTTCTTTTTCAATTTTCATTTAAATACAAATTCATTTTAACATATATATAAATTAGAACTATATGATAGATATGGTATTCTAATATATGGTATCCTAATGATATAATATTCTAATTAATATGATAAAAATAGATTTTCAAAAGCTAATTAAAAATTATTGATATAATCTTACCAAAAAATTTATTTTTTATGTAGATTTAGCTGGAAAACATTTTTATTTAAAATATTAAGACATATAAATATTTTAATTTGTTTAAACCTTTCATCAGAAATGAAGATTATGATTTAAATAATAAAATATAATGCAGATACCTTGGTCAAAATAAAAGTAAAACTGGGTCATGTTAAAGAAGCTTATCGTAGTAATTACAGTCTAATATAATAAGTTTATTTTATGTTTATATTTCAGTTGTTAAAAAAAAATGTGATATAATATCTCATAATCTGTTTTTAATCCTTAATAAAACTTGGTTAGTAGTAGTTACTGCAACAGCTACTAAAAAATAAATAAAAGAAATATTGAATAAAAGATACCATTTTTGTAACATGTTTTAGGTTTGAGTTCGCTGCCTTCCAAAAAAAATTTATTATTTTTCATTAAAATATGAGATATTAGTTTTCTTTTTTGTGTGATAGGTTGGTGATGCATATATAGCACTTGTGCCAAATACTTTAATTTTAACTAGCATTAATGATACTTAAATTAGTTATTTGAAAACAAGAATTATGCAAAAAAAATTAAAAGTATAAAGAAAGTAAAATTATAAATTTTTTAAAACTAAGGATGTACCAAATTAGATAATTTATAATTTTAGTTCAAAAGACTTTTTTAAAATCATATATAGTTAGTTTTATTTTTTTTAAATTTTATTTGTTTTTAATTTTAATAACTTTAAATATATTATTTTGAATCAATCTTTACATAAAATATTTCTAGCTAATTGAAAAGCTTGCTTAATATAATACTAGTATCTTAAATAGATTAGTAATCTCATACCATTTGAATTAAAATATATTATTCTTTTATTTGTATTTCTACCATAATAACATTCTATATCCTCTAGATTATTTATAAGATATTTTACTACACACAAGCAAGATTAAATGATGAGAGTTAATAATTCTGCATCTAACTTTTAATAATAATATGACTAAGTATATACAGTATAGCTGACTTTAAAAATATGAGAAGGTAAGTTTATAAAGTTATTTTCTTTGTGATTTCAAAGCAATGAATAAATCTCTTGTCGTACATATCATTTAATCATATATAGTTGAAAGCTTGAATAGTTCAATCACATTATTTTTCTTATTTTAGTCATATAATAATGATTATTTTATCTTTAAAGTACTAATCATTTTATTTTTAGTAATCCTAGTAATATAGCATAACTCCAAAAATTGCTAACTTCTGACCTTAAAACTGAGCTCTTATCAATTTATCACCAATGAATTCCCTTGATAACAGAATAAACAATTTATAAAGGAAGTGAAAGTACTTTCAAAGGATTACTATAAAGATTAAGAAATTTTGCTTCTAATACAAGCAGAAGGGGCTCCTAATTTATCTCTATATATTCTGCTTTTCTTGTCTAGAAAATTACAGTTTCAAGCCTCTACATGTTAATATCATATGAAGTCAATCTTACTGTGCTACAAAGATTGATAATGATCAACGTTATTAATATCATTAGCATTTTTAACTTAGTTAACATTTTTATTTTATTTATTTTATTCTTATATT